GAAAACATATATGTACAGCATAAATATTTGACTGTTAAAATTTACATAAAACAAATCATTAACATATAAAAAAATATCACGACATTTACTTTTTTAATTGATTTGTCGGTGGTCACGAGGACTAAAAAAGTATACTTCTCCGGGAGATTGGAAAGGATATTTGCTAAACTCAACACTAACAAGTTGCCACCGCACTTCAATTCTCATGATAATGGATTACTAAACTTTTTTGTTTGTAATAGAGTTCAAAGATTTGAAAATAATAAAACCACGATACGATAGATTAGTGAAAATAAATTTTAGATATTTGGGATTTAACCAATATAAATGAATATTGATTTAAAGGATTGAAATCGCAGTATGACACCTTGATGAAAATAGTTTTCAATTTTTTAGAAATTTCGTGTGACAACTGTTATCCGAGACAAAATGAACTGAGAAAAAGTAAAAGAAAGAATCAAAATCTTTTAAAAACAAAAGAGAATTAAAGAAATAAAATACTTTGTATTTTGATCATGAGATCTGAATATTAAACAGATATACACTCTTTTTATTATTCAAATTAAACAAATATTATTTTAATTTAAAATAAACAAAAGTATATAATTATTTTTAATATTCAAAGTTAAAAAGGTAACACATACAATTTTAAATTGACTATTAAAAGAGTAATTATCTACTAATATTCAAATTAAATCATATCTTTTAATTTATAATTTCTAAAAGGACTCTGAATTTAATATAAATATTAAAGCTATCAATGTAATTCACAATTTTTTAACAATCCCCACATGAATGAAATTGATGATTTAATCAAAAACATTTTGACATGGTGTGGTGATAGCCTCTACGATCGATGTTGCATAAGATAGGTAGGTGTCATCCTTTGAACATTCCCTTGTGATAGTATATTTACTTTACTAGTTAAACAGTAAACACGATGTCCTTGAACTGTTCTGTCGTTTGTGTAAACGATGACATACTTCACCGACTACCCCTCTGACAAGAATTTAGTTCTCATGTGTATGTCCTTAGGGTATGTTTGGTTCACGGAATGTAAGATTACTAGGGAATAAGATTACTGAGAATGTTAAATTTTTTGTTTGGTTGGCTTAGCAGGAATGTAAGATTACCGTGTTTGGTTAAAGGAATAAAAGATTATTGGAATGTATATTTGACCAAATTGTCCTTATTATATATTTGTTTTTTTAACAAGTTGGAAAATATTTATATATTTTCTTTAAAAAAATTAAATTCATAAAATTTATATAATTTTTTTACAAAATTGAAAATATAAAAAGGTTTAATGAAAGGATAAAATTTTATTTTAACCCCTGAATTTCATATAAATTTTTAATTATAGACTTTTTTTGTAAATCTAAAATAGTTTAAGGATAAATTTATAATTTAACCTTCGTAGAATTTTTATTATTCAATGACAGAAGAATGATATTTTTGAAAAAAAATTAAGGGCATTTTAGTCCAAAACGTCGGTAATCCAACAATACCTAAGGAAAAAGAGGTAATGACATTCATGGTAATATACCCAAAAAAATCCACTATTGGTAATCTTACATTATCGGGAATAGGATTCCCGGGCTAACCAAACGGGGGAATGTGGATTCCATTCCCATGGGAATCCCACATTCCCCCATCCAAACGCCCCCTTAAAGCCATGGACATCGCCTGGTTCTATAAGGGTTTGATAGAACTATGCCCCAATAGTCTCCTTGAAACGGTCTCACTTCACTCTAACATAGGTGACTTATGTTGCTCGGCTTACCGCAGGACACAATGGTCATTAAAAGCCTAGCTTAACCTATACCACTTTGATCATTGTGTACATCATAGGAACAAACTTGGGATAAGAAACCCCCACAGTGACCGTACACAGGTTATGCAATTAGGTTGTCCTTTGAACCTAGATCTTGAGATCTTTAGTCAACAAGGTAGGGTTTCCCTTCATATAACGCCTTTAAATTTCATGGGCTTTAGTCTCATTCTTTTATATGTTTTCTCAACTTGATCTCGATTTAACCCTTTGGTTAGTGGATCCGCGATGTTATCTTTTGATTTTACAAAATCAATATAGATAAATCCATTTGAGACCAGTTGTCTAATGGTATTGTGTCGATGAAGTATATGTCTCGATTTACCATTATACAAGAAATTTTGTGCTCTAACAATTTTTGTTTGGTTGTCACAATATATACATACAATGGGCACAAGTTTCAGCCATTCTAGAATATCCTTAAGAAAGTTCCAAAGCCATTCTGCTTCTTCTCCAGATTTGTCTAGAGCTACAAACTCAGATTCCATTGTGGATCTAGTTATTATCATTTGTCTTAAGGATTTCGTAGCTCCTCCTCCTAAAGTGAATATGTATCCACTGTCAGATATCCAACTAGCATCTGAGTATCCTTCTAAGACAACATGATCTCTGGAATAATGCAAATCGTAATCACGAGTATATCTAAGGTATCTCAATATCCTTGTTATTTTTTTCCAGTGATTTTCACTTGGATTACTCGTGAATATGCTTAAATTGCTCACAATAAAAGTGATGTCTAGTCTCATACAGCTCATGAGATACATTAGCCTGCCTATGCCCCTTCATGTTCTACCTGGTGAACACTTTCGCCTGGATTTTTAGACAAATGTGAACAAAAGTCTAGTGGACTTATAGCTATACCATTATTACCCTTGTTAAAAAATTTCGAATCTTGTCACATAGTGTGACTGTGTTAATATAATGCCTTTAGATGACCTTTTAATTTGGATGCCAAGAATCGTATTGGCCAATCATGTATCTTTCATGTCAAATCTTGAATTTAACATATCTTTGGTACGTTTTGATTGTGTTACTTCCAACAACGAGTATGCCATCCATATATAAGCATAGAACATATCATATGCTTGTTTTTTTGCATACACACACTTGTCACACTCATTTATCTTGAAGTTGGTTGTCATCATGACACTATCAAACTTCTCATGTCATTATTTTGGTGCTTGTTTAAGTCCATACAAAGGCTTTACCAACCTACAGACTTTCCTTTCTTAACCTAGAACTACATGACCCTCAGGTTGTTCCATGTAAATTTCTTCGTCAAGATCTCCATTTAGGAAAGTTGTTTTAACATCCATTTGATGTACTTCTAGATTTCGCAAAGAGAAAATGCTAGTACCATTCTTATGGATGTTATTCTTGATACATGAGAGTATGTATCAAAATAGTCTAGGTCTTCCTTTTTCGGGTATTCTTTTATTATCAATCTGGTCTTATACTTATCAATTGTTCCATCTACTTTCATTTTTCATTTGAAAATCCATTCAGAACTTAATGGTTTAATCCCCGAAGGAAGATCCACTAATTTCCACGTATGGTTCTGCATGATATAATCTATGGCTTTCTTCCATAAGGTGTCTTCAGAGGATCATATTGCTTCAATATACTTTTAAGGTCCAGCCTCCAACATAAAGGTTAAGAAGTTTGGCCCAAATGATTTTCAACCCTTACCCATTTACTCCCTTTTGGCTCTATCTCAATTTCAGCCTCTTGTTGATTATCTGAACTATCCTCATTATTAGTCTTTAAGGTTCGTTTTATTAAAATCTGATCAACCTCCTTAGATTTATAAGGGAAAATATTTTCATAGAATGATGCATTATTTGATTTCATTATCGTATTCTTGTGAATCTCAAGGCTTTTAGATTCATACACAAGAAATAGATATGTATTGCTATGTTCTGTATAGCCAATGAAAATACAATCCACATTTTTAGGACCATTTTCATTTGCTTTGGTAATGTGGTCATTACCTTGGTAGGACAACCCCACATTTTCAAATGTTTGTAGGAAGATTTCTGACCTTTCCATAATTCGTATGGCGTCTTGTCTTTTTCCTTTTAGGATACCTTATTTAAAAGGTAATTAGCTTAAAGGACAACTTCTCCCCACATGTTATATGATAACCCAAAACTGCCTAACAAGGCATTCATCATTTCTTTTAGAGTCTGAGTTTTCCGCTCAACTACTCCATTTGGTTGAGGAGAATAAGGTGTGTTACTTCGTGAATAATATCATGTTGTGGGTTCAACATCTTCACACCACGCTTAAAGGACAACTTCTCCCCACATGTTATATGATAACCCAAAACTGCCTAACAAGGCATTCATCATTTCTTTTAGAGTCTGAGTTTTCCGCTCAACTACTCTATTTGGTTGAGGAGAATAAGGTGGTGTTACTTCGTGAATAATATCATGTTGTGGGTTCAACATCTTCACCACCATGATCACTTCTTACCATCTTAATATTTTTATTAAGTTGGTTTTGACTTCCTACTTCTAGAGTATAAATTTTTTTTAGCTCCATCTTTGCTCTTAAGCATATATACATAGCAATACTTTGTGCTATCGTCAATGAAGGTAATAAAATATTTATTCACTCATCTCGTTTGGATAATTTTCAAGTCACAAACGTCACTGTGAATTAAATCAAGTGGTCGGTATTTCTTTCAACAGTTTGAAAAGATGACCTTGTGAATTTTACCTCAACACATGTTTCACATTTATTATTATAATTTATATGAAATGAAGGAATGTGTTTCAAGTTAATTAATCTCCACAGAGCATCATAATTAACATGTCCAAGCCTACCATGCCATAAATTAAATAACTTAAGCATATAAACAGAGGAAGAAATTTTATTCTTATTCATGCTTTTAGCTTTTATATAGATAACATTGAGTCTCTACATGTCATCAATACATATCATCTACCCAAATTCTCCCTTTGGACAAAATCAACTTTTGGGATCAAACACTCGTGTAGAGCTTCTCCCCATTGTGTATGGTGTCAGTTCAGAGAAAAATTCCTTGTTGCAAAAAAATATGGTGTGTGGCTCCAGTATTGAGCCACCATTCTCTTGGATTAGAGTCAACCAGATTGACTTAAGAGATCACAACACACAAATCTATATCCTCCACATCCTTAGTCATTCATTCCACAGCATTAGCCTCACGAGCTTTGGCTTTCTTTGGATGTCTACACTCAGAGGATTTGTGCCCCATCTTTCCACATTTAAAGAACTTCCCTTGGTATTTTTCCTTCTTGGAAATTCCTCCTTTAGGTCCCAGTTTTAACCTATTCTTGGGTTGTTTTCCCTTCTTAGAGTCTTTGACTTCTATCACGTTTGCCTCAGCCTCTTCTTTGTTGAGCTTTTTGGCAGTAATTTTGTTGTCTTCTTCTGACAAACAGTTCTTCCATGGTCATTTATTTCCTCTTGTGCTTTAGATAATTCTTGAAGTCACTCCATCCATGAGGTAATTTCTTAATAGTGGCGGCTACCTGAAAGGATTCACCTATGACCATTCTCTCGGCAAGGATTCCATTTATCAATAGTTGGAATTCCTCCGCTTGTTTTACTACTGGTTTAGAGTCAACCATAGTAAAATTCAAGAACTTGGTAACTAAAAACTTTTTAGTTCCAGCATCTTCAGCTTTGTACTTGTGGTCCAATGTGTCCCTCAATTTCTTTGATGTTTCATAACCAACATATATCGGATATAATGAATCTTGAAGACAATTTAGTATTATATTCTGACATATATAATCTGAATTCTTCCAAGCTTCAACAATGTCTTCTCCATCTTCAAGAACATGAGGATCTTTCAAGAACCTTGAAAGGTTCCTTGTGGTCAAATAGAAAACTATCTTCTGTTGCCACATCTTGAAATTATTTCTGCATAATTTCACCAGCTTTTCGTTATGGTTAATTGCCACTGTTGATTGACTCACATTCAGATTTGGATTCTGAACCAGTACCACCATCTTAACAATCATGTCGGGTGAACTAGTAGAGTCTACTATCTCCTTTTTTTCTATAAAAGAAACGAAACCAAAATTAGAAATAATTCCAATAAATAGAATATTAATTCTCATTTATTTTTGATTTTTTTATCGGTCAGAATCAATATTCTAAAATAAAATCAATAACTTTAGTTACTTTCACGACAATTTCTGTTATACATATTTGTCCACTTTGAGATTCTAGTAAACCCACTAAGACGGTAGGATAAATCACGAAACAAATTGTTTACTATGTCATTTTCGTTTTCCCCACAATTCCGAATTATCTTGGATCAAGAAAGGTAGAAGAAGAGAATATGTCTTCATATTGTTACCCGAGAGTAGCAATCCGAGACCAAAGTGGAGTCTAAGGAAAAGTAAAGAAAGAATCAAAATTCTTTAAAAAAATAAAAGAGAATTAAAGGAAATAAAATACTATATTTTGATCCTGATATTGGAATCAGTTGAGGCCTGTCACTACACAGTTTCCTCAAGACAAATTTTCGGCCACTCCTTGGTGCTAGAGATCCTTTTGTCGACACTCATTTTTCATCCCATTCGATATTATTATTAATTAATATTATTTTTTTATTTTCAGATCCAAGTAAAGCAACCCAAAATTGGGCCCAATTACATAACCCAAAATTAGGAGGCCCAAAACTGTTAGGGTTTTTTCATGTTCCAGCAGTCGCCAACAGCTCCCAGATCCAACAGCCCAGATGTAAACCAGATTAGGGTTTTAACTCCAGCAATCATCGCCTCTCATCTCAGCCCTATGATCTGGACCCATCCAATGATCCAGATCGAGCTTCAGCAACCGACGCCGCTCTCCAATCCAAGGCCACCTCCTTACTGTGTTAACCACCAGCCAACAAACGCTGCAGCTAATCAGAGCCTTACAATGTCAAAAACGCATATCACACAAAAAACCACAAAGACTAATAAAACACGTAATAATCACCTTTTTTTTAATTTTTTTTGTAATCATTTTCATCAGAAACAAGCAAAAAATAATAGAAAAAGATAATAGAAAATATAAAGTTCCCTCGGTTTTTTAATAAAGAAAAAGGTATATTCTTTTTTTATTTACTTGCAGTTTTCGAAAGCATTAAAAGCAAAAGCTTTGAGGGTATTTTCTTTTTTCGTTCTAGTGTTTTTACATTTCAAGCAAAAAACATAAAACCCTTGCATGTAAAAAGAAAACTGAGTCTAAGGAGAAAGATTACTTGAGTCGCGAGGAGTCCTTGCGGTGGCCGAGCACGTTTTTCGGCTCGTTTTTGGGGTGTTTTGGGTAGTTTCAGGTCTAGATTTAGTGCTAGGGTGTTAGATCGAGGTAAATGTTTTTTGGGTGAGTTTGGGGGTCCGACCATCGTATGTGGCGGTCGCAACGGCGGTTGAACGACGACCGGTGGCGGTTCGGGACGGCCGACAGTAGGCCGACCGAAGCCTTTGAGAGATAAAAAGAAGAAAGTTTTTTTAAAAATAATCGGTTGGAATTAAAAATAAATAAAATCTAAGTAGTATATATAGCGGTAAGTTAGGGCATATTGCATGTTAGTCACCTGTAGGACGTCTCTATGTAATTTACCCATTTATGGTGTGTTTATTTTTAGGGGTATTTGTTGTTAGCCCTTGCATGTTTACGCGTGTTTTGCATTTTAGTCTTGTAGTGATTGTTTAATTTTTCTTTGAATATTTAGGGACTTAGTTTGTAATTTTACCTTCATTTATTTGAATATGTAAAAAATGGAATATTTATGAAATGGTCCCTGTATTTTTGTATGTTTGTATTTTGAACCCGAGTATGTTATTTTTATTTATTTTAATTCGGCCATAGAATTTAGTTCATTTTCACTTGAATCGTTATTGAATTTAAGATGAAATAGTAATATTTTTTATTTCAATTGGAGTAATAAATGATTGTTTTAAGCATGAAAGAACATTTATTTTCGATGGAAGTAATTAGATTATCATTTTTCACTCTTAAGATCATTTGTGGTGTTGTTATTTTGAATTGATAAGGAACTTAGAATGAAATTAATATTTCTTTTTCGATTGGAGTAAGAATCGATTGCTTCAAGGTATGAGAGATCGATTCTTCTCGATAGGAAATAATTAAATATTATCATGTTTCATCCGAAAATTCAAAGAATATTACTCAGGGGATCTTAAATTAAATTAGACTCGAACTTGTAAATTTTATTGCAAAGACAATTAATTAATCGACTAGTACTGATTTAGGGCGTTATGGGGGTGTTAATCCTTCCCTACACGTAACCGACTCCCGAACTCAAATTTTGGTAACACAGACCGCAAGTTTGTCGTTTTAATTAAAATTATATTTTATTAAAATGCAAATACATTTTTGGGTGCCAATCACACCCTAATCAAAGATTGGTGGCGAATCCTCGAACCACGTTTTATCACTAACCATCGTTCCAAAAATAATTATTTTTGAAACAGGACCCCCTTTTCCCTCCGGAAAAAACCGTTTCGACAGCTTTGATTGTCTGTCTCCCAAGATACAACAACTAGATGATTAGCTACAGTAGCAATAGTAGAGATCATGAACTTCCTTGCCTTCGACTATCATGGAAAAACTAAGGGGAAAAAGAATATTTCTAAGAATGAGAGAAAATATTTTTAATAGAAGAAGCTTCTTGAATTCTGAGTTGTGAGAAACGAGAGATGCTTATATTTATAGGGAAATTTCGAGAGAGTTTTTCTCGACTAAATCTCTTTAATATCTAAATTTAAACAGCTAATAATATCTTTTAAATTTAAAATATTAAATCTGAGAGATTTAATCAGATATCTTTAATATCTAAATTTAAATAGATAATAATATATTTAAGTTTAAAAAATTAAACAGATGTACTCCTTTTATTATTCAAATTAAACAAATATTATTTAAATTGAAATATACAAAAGTATATAATTATATTTTAATATCAAAGTTAAAAAGATAACACATACATTTTAAATTGACATATTAAAAAGAGTAATTATCCTACTAATATTCAAATTAAATCATAGCTTTTAATTTGCAATATCTAAAAGGACTCTCAAGTAAAATAAATATTAAATCATCAAATAATTCACCCTTTTTCAACAACACCACCAATTAATTGAAACCAAGACGATGGTTTAGAGTTTAACTTTATATGATTTGTTTAGAAAGAGTTTGTGTACCATTACCAATTAGATTAGATGCTTAGTGAAAATGTCCTTACTGGATGTGGATTTCTTTAAAGCAACTTACTAACCAAAATGATTGTAGATTTGTATGCCAAAGACAATCAAGTCATTATCATATATGGTTTGACTGTCAAACTCAAAATTAAGGTCCGTCTTATTAGGTATTAATGGGAATTGTATCAAATAATTTCAAAGCCAGTTCTTGCTCATAATGCGATGGATATAACACACATTATGTGGTATTTGAGGATGTTAGGATTTAATCCAAACTCAATTATTTATAACATAAATAGAAGATTAGATAGACAAAAATGTTTAACGTACTTGTTTTTGCCGGTAATTGAACGCTGGAATTGACAAAGCAACAATAATATAGGATGCATCTTTAATTAGAGGCAGGCGATTGGCTCTTCAATTCCCCCCCCCCGTTTTCACATAATTAATTTGTGTTATTTATTTTAATTTTGATAATGATTAAACATAAATGCTTTAATGTCATGTTGAGAAAATTGGAGTAAACGCCATCCCATATTATATTTCATATACATAAAATTAGGCTACGAACGAGAGAAGAATTGCACGAGTTGACGACATTTTACCAATCTACGTGTAATATATATTTGAAGGGTGTGATGTCTGCATCGGACATGTGGCCCTGGAACGTGGTTGTGTATTTATTATTTTCCATGGATTATTTAGTTTTTTATTTTTTTATCATTTACGTTAATTTTACTTTTAATATTCAGAATCTAAAATTATCATCTTTATGGTTTAAAATTAAATTCTCACCTTATAATCATAATGCATTTCAACTTTACGTCCACTACTTATCGATAATGTACTTTGTAATAATACTTCCACATATATAATAGAATTTGTATTTTTACTGAAATTTATAATAAAAAAAATAAAAGTCGAGTTTTGAACAAAACAATTATTGATCAGTAAGTTAATTGCATCGATTATAGGCAGTTTATCCCAATAATAACCTGCAATTTCTAATCTCACCATCTATAATACTATGCTTTACTAAATTTTTTTTTTTTTAAAGAAACACATACTTAATTAAGTTCAAATCACTTAAAGTTACTTATTCAAGTTTATTTGGATTCAGACTAAATTAAATTGTTAATTTTGATCATCAAAGGGTTGCGTTAAGTTGAAGTTAAACCGATAGGCTTTTTGGGTTCGAGTGATAACTAACAAATCTAATACAAATACGAACCTTAAATAACTTGAACCCATAATTAACCTAAACTTTGATAATAAAAAGATTAACCTAAACTAAAATATGCCAAAAATTAAAATATTAGGAATAACTAACTAAATTCAAATTAACTTGAACCAAATCGACTGACTTGTCCAAATGATATTCCTATTTAGGCTTACTTAAAAACAAGTGTTCAGTTTTTTTTTCATTTTTTATGTTTTAAATATTTTTCGCTTAATGAGAGTGTCCAATATTTTTTGCTACTCTTTTAAAGGTCTACACTATAATGACAATTAAAAATAATTGTCAATGACTCAAAATGTAAAGCATGCCACGTTTATATAATTTCAAATTTCATTTAAAAATAATTATTTTTTAAAAAACTCAAATCTAAACAAAAATTCTAATGTATAATTTCAAACCCCTTTACCATTATTGACCGTTGACGATGTGCTCTGGTCATCGTCCTTTGTCGTCAGCTATTTTATTTACTCGAATTTCATTGTACCCTCAACGCAAAACAGGAGAAATTGTCGTATAAGATGTTAGTCGTACTTAGGGATGGCAATTTAACCCGAAATTGATT